ATTGCAATTAAATTTATGCCAGTGCATGAAAAATGTCCCAACAGGGTGATCCCACTATTCCCCACAGGCACTTAATCTTGGTTACATTATGCTAATGTCATTGTGATGACCCGATGCAGTAATAATTCACAAAGAAACTACACAAAACTACATGACAGGTCTCCTCCAAATCAATGTGTTGCCTACCAAGTGGAATCCGATAGTGAAAAATATGTCCATTAAAGAAAAAATCAATAAAAATCATTTTGTTTTGTTTTTTCTTTTTTGAGAACCATTCCAAATCCCTGGAACTCTGTTCTACTTGGATCAGGGTATCTACTAATACTTTAGTTTTTATGGTACAGCTTGTGATTTTTTTCATTTTGTAGTTTCAAGTATTGCATATTAAAAATGGTCCTATACATTTTGTTTTGTTTTATTGTGACGTGCAACTACACATAGTTCAGAAAATATTAGTTGTTGACCTCTGCATTATGTATTTTTGTTGTTAGTATGTGCTCAAAGATGGCTTCATTCTTATTTTAACTATTTTAATACGCTGGATGTGGGTTGACAGGCAGTTTAAAATAAATAAACAAATAAATAATATTTCGAGAGTATTTAAAATTTCAAACTAAAATTTCACAGATAGACTTTTAAACATTTGTGTTTTGTGCTATGACACTTCTGGCAAATCAGAGATGCTGAGTTGAAACTGTTTCAAAAAAAAAAGTTGGATGTTTGAAGATGGGATGACCCATGTGTGTGGTTATGGATGCCTGAAAGTTCATAAACCTCCTATACGTGTGATTTTGAGAGACTATGGTGCTTGTTTTGTGATTTGCTAATTTGACTGACACTCATCTTACCTGCTGTCTTAAATTGTTAAAAGCATTTTTTTTTTCAGAATACATGGACCGTTTAATTTTTAAATAATAAGATACTATATATTGATAAAATAGTTCTAGGTTAAAAGATCAGGCATTCGTTTCTTCTTTATTGGGATTTTTTGGAACACTTTTTCTGGTATCAACATTACCTTTACAAAATTAAAACTCGTAGGAAGGGGAGTCTGTTTTGAATTCCACATTCTTGAGCTCATGTTTGTTGCGGACTGTAAATTCAAACACAGAGCAAGTTTCAGCATGAAATGCTGGGATAATATCAAGACTGGCGAAGGCTGTCTGTGCTGGTGGTGAATGCCCAGGGTCACTGCCAGTTGAAGTGAGGCTGCAGTTTAAAGTAACAATGATGACACAGAGTTGAGATCACATTATACCGTAGAAATCTGTAGCAATGTCATGTCCACATCCTGCTGTAACAATGCGTGTATATGGGATTGACCATATTTCTGCAGAAATTCCCCTGACATTGCGGACACGAAGTCTGCAGTGTCACAGAAAATCCTACAGAGATGGTTTCATAGGGAAGATCTTTGTGATAATTATGTGGTATCAAGAATTTTGACTCACTTCCACCTCTGTGAGTTGTACTGGTTTCTTATTTTGAAAAACTAAGTCTGTCAGATTAACTGTGAACAGATGCCATTACAAAATTCTAGTGCACATTCCCATTCCTGACTCAGATTATGCGATAGTTTTCTCACGATTACGGGATTGTGTTCAGTACACTAATGGGACATTTGGACCTATCGGAGAATCTTCAGGTTTTTAAGATTTCTTCAGGATCACAGTAGTCATTTAGTTCATCCATTGGCACACATTAAGAAAAAAACGAATAGTTAATATGGCATGCTTCATTTTCTGTATTTGTTATGCGTCCATCGTTTGTTCTCTCCTGACTAGATCCTTGCTTGTTTTGTATCTACTCTCAGATGTACATTACTTTGGATAAAAGTGTCTGCCAAACGAACCTGTAGAATTGTAAGCTCGTACTTGTTCACATATTACTGTTATAAACAATTGCAGCGTAACGTCGTCCATAAAGGTGGATGGTTTTTAGCCTTTTCCACCTCTAGAATACATCTTAGTATGTAAAAAGTGAAGTACACTTTTCTTCGTTCCACACAAGGCAGCATGTGGAACAGAAGGACTTTAAGTGAGAATTGTCTTTAATTACCTCGAACACTTCCTGTTTGAATCATGCTCTTACTCAAGAAATAATGACTATAATGTGGCAATCTGACATGCTCTTCTAATGACGGTGTGTTCAAACAACAACATCCTGAACACTAACGACTAACAGACCATCAAACAGCATCACATAGGATTGTGATCAGACAGGAAGCTTTTTGTTTCTAGGTCAAATGCAAAATGAAACAGCGAGCATCGCTGGGGAAGAACAGAGAGAAAAGCTCAAAAGGTGCAAGGAGCATTGCATCATGCTTGTTGCTATGGAGCTGCCCAATAGCATTGCTGGATAACTTACAAAAGGGTTTAATGTTGTGATGTGATTGCAGTTGCTGGTCAGGAAGATGGCACAGGGAGCACAGGCAGGAGAGGCAGCAGTCATCTTTAAATCAAGACATCAGCTCTGGTTATGAGAAATAATTACCAGAAATTGTGACTGAATCAAAGTTATCACTAATTAGGAGCAACTGAATTTAATTTGACATATTAACTATTAAGGGCTGCAAGGTGGCGCAGTTGGTAGCACTGTTGCCTTGCAGCAAGAAGGTTGCTGGTTCGCATCCCGGTGGGGGCACCGGAATCTTTCTGCTTGGAGTTTGCATGTTCTCCCCGTACAGCGTGGGTTCTCTCCAGGTTCTCCAGCTTCCTCCCGCACAGTCCAAAAACATGCTGAGGTTAATTGGTGATTCTAAATTGTCCATAGGTGTGAATGTGAGTGTGCTTGGTTGTCTGTCTCTAAGTGTGGCCCTGCGATAGACTGGTGACCTGTCCAGGGTGTCCCCTGCCTTCATCCTGAGTCAGCTGGAGTAGACTCCAGCCCCCCCGTGACCCTAGTGAGGATTAAGCAGTGTATGTATGTATGTCAACTATTAAGGACTGCAAGGTGGCGCAGTTGGTAGCACTGTTGCCTCGCAGCAAGAAGGTTCGCCGGTTCACTAGGATCTTTCTGCGTGGAGTTTGCATGTTCTCCCTGTGCTGCGTGGGTTCTCTCCATAGACTGTATAAAAGATGAACGTAGCAACCGGCCCTGAAAAATGAAGCCAACCTGCAATATCACTACGGCCGCTAGCTGCTGGCTCCAAAAAGCCCTGGCTCCCATAGACATGAATTGGAAAAGAAGTGATCACAGATCACGAAATACCGCATTCCTACAGCTCATGATTTTTTCTTATTAGTTTTCATGGTCAAATCCAGAGATCAGGTGGCCAACCTGAAAATAAATCAATACTGAATTTTTAAAAAATCGTCAAAATTTTGCAGGGCAAGGGGCGTGGCTGGCTTGATTGACAGTCGGCAGCGACGATGCAGACGAAGCGAGCAGAAGGCGGTAAATGTCGGCAGGCAGAGAGGGCCCGCCTCTCAATCCGTCTGACCAATCGCTGCTCCTATGGTTCCGCCCCCCTCCGACGATTTTTGCGTCGCTGACTCCAAAAATCCAAGATGTCAACCAGGAAGTAGCAAAACCCTGACTTCATTTTCTCAGTGCAGAAACCAACGGGTGACGTCACGGTAGCTATGTTCATCTTTTATACAGTCTATGGTTCTCTCCGGGTTCTCCGACTTCCTCTCACAAGTCCAAAACATGCTGAGGTTAATTGGTGATTCTAAATTGTCCGTAGATGTGAATGTGAGTGTGCTTGGTTGTCTGTCTCTAAGTGTAGCCCTGTGATAGACTGGTGACCTGTCCAGGGTGTCCCCTGCCTTCATCCTGAGTCAGCTGGAGTAGACTCCAGCCCCCTTGTGACCCTAGTGAGGATTAAGCGGTGTATAGATAATGGATGGATGGACATACACACTTTGCGAAGTCTTGACAACAAATAGAATTTTCTTGTCACCTACTCTTTTAATAATTTTAAAATAATTTTCTAATTGTCATGTCATTTCATTTCATGTCCAAAACAGGCATATTTTCAAGGCTCTTAATTTGTTGCTTTTCTTGGTCTTACATTACTTTAGGTTGAATATTGTGCAGTTGTGGTTTGTGAGGACAAAAATATGTTAGTCTGGAATCCATTAGTGGCAAAGAAATTGGTTCATTATGCAAAAAATTCCACAGTTTAGTCTATAATAATTTTTAAAAAAAAGGGCTCAGGGATTTTCCAAACCACTGGTAGTCTTAAAGAAATGCATTTGCAGGAAGTACTTTCAGCTGCTGATTCATCCACATTTGATTCTTTCATGAGTAGTTCAGGCTAGTCAAAATATATTCTGTGTGTTCATGGTGACAAAGGGACTCATGACCCAGTGCAACAGTGGGGCTCATTGATTTGTTTTTAATAGTTTTTTGGACATCAGTGGAGCTCTATGGCCCAGAGGAAGAACCTCTGCCAGGCTTTGATACAGTCACAGTCTTGTTAATGGAAATTTTCTGTGCTGGTTTTGTTAAGAATTAAAGATATTTTGAGTATTACCTTTATTTGCTAAGTAGAACTCTCTGGGGGAAAAAAAAAGGTTTAATATGTCAACATTTTTCAGCCACTTCCATGTGAAAGGGTTTAAAGTGAGAATTATTTACATTCTATTTGCACCAGTGTTGTCCACTTGTTTCTTTCTGTCTCTGTCTAATACACTTGTTATATAACATTGCTTTCTGCCTGTTTCTCCACTTACTGTCATAAATATAAATATGGCTGCATATCTAAAATGTGTTTTATTGATGAGATGTGGTTGTCAGAGCACAAGCATTATGCCATTAGCCAGAGCACAGCCCATGAAGCTTTTATCCCTTTGTGTTGGTCTCCATAGTTACCCTGTTAAAGACTCAACTGACAGTCAGCTGTCTTTTGTGTTTGTCACTGGCCTCTCTGGCCTCCACTCACTCTTTGATTTCTTTTTGCCAGAGCTTTGCAAACCTTCTCTGCGTTGACAGTGCAGCCTCAGGTGACTGCAGCAATCACATGTTTGGGATCTGTGTGTCTTTCTGTATCCCAGATGGAGATGTCAGTGACTACAGGTGGCCCGGGGATGTCTGGTCACCGCCAGCGGTCGGTAAAACGGAGGAGGTGGGGAGGTCTAAGGCAACAGTGGAAACTTCTGGGCTTGTTTGAGATCGATCAGGAGCATGAGTTCTACAACCTGACCTGCATGATGAAGGAGGGCTTGGCTGCAGCAATCCAAAGCACCATTGACAACGCACCAACAGTGAGTGGGCTTCAGGAGAGCCAGCATTTCAGTCACCTTCATCGATGCATGTACATACCATTTGTAAATCTACTCTGTATTCAAATAGACATATTTCAGTTTTAAAGCATATGGTATGGGTTATTAATATTAGGGAGGCTCTCTATAGGTGTTGTTACAACTCATAAATTTATAAATGCCCAAGAGCTGATGTGATGGCACGTGTTAAGGTGCAACTGATGTGTGCATTCATAGAAAACAATAGCAATGTGTGTTTTGACTGAAGCCACTGTGGGTCTGGGGGCCCCTGAGCAGCTATTGGGTTGGGATGTTGTCCAGAGATACTGAGTAAAGTGAAAGGGGCAAGTGGATACTGGTACTGCTGATCATTAACACCTTAACATACATATACCTTTCGCCTTTAATTGAATTGAATTGGCCTGTTCCTAACCTTTGTTAAATCTTTACTATATGATTACACTAAAAGAAACACTGCAGCTTTTCATAGAGTGCCATCATTTTGTTCTCTAACAACTGGTTTTCATTTTTGCCCCTTTCTTGTATGTTTTTGAGAATGAGCCATCAAATATTTGTAAAAATGTTCCAGATGTCTTTAGAACCACTTCGAATCAACATAAAATTACAACATTCAGTCTGACACATTTGGCATCATTGTGACTGTTTCACAGTGTCACAATGCATAGACAAGATCCACAAGTTTTGCATTGTGTGGCTGTCACTCTTCAAAGATATCCTAACATCTGATCATTTCCCAATAAGAATCCACAAATCTGCTTTTACTAAGAAAATGGAAAATAATGTTCTTATAACTGCAGAACAGAAATATTAGATATGGGCATAAAACATGGCACAAGTTGTAGCAAGAGTAACAGCTGATAAAAAGCTGTTCCTCACTGGAGGAACTTGTGAGTTGTTTTTGGGCAGCCCAAGCCTTTGTGTGTGTTCTGACCACAGGAACTGCCCCTGTAGAACTTCTTTCAGTGCCATTTACCAGTAGAAAAAAGTACCTACTCCAGGGTAGGTATATCTGAGAAGCCTTAAAAAAACTGCTGGTCAGGACTTGATGCTGATTGGGCAAACTCAGAGAGGACAGTAAGTTTAACTTCTCTGTTTTCTATTAACTACGTAAAATTCACCACATAGGCGTACCTCCATTGTTCGATTTTCTACATCAAATCAAATCAAATCAAATCAAGTTTATTGTCATTTTGCTATATATACACAGCAGTACAGGCAAGATGGGAGAGCGTTCCTTCAGGAATATTTAATTAGTAAGTTTTGCGGAATGCACGTCTGGGATAAGACACTAAACGTTCACTCTCGCTGTCTCCTGAAGGGGTCGCTGCATCCATGCATGCCACCGTTCGTTGAACATGGCGGTCCTGCTGGTCTGGAGGGATTAGCTTTTAGCCTAGCATGGATCCCGGCTCTCTTCCTGCTCTTTTGTTTACATTCCTACCGTTTGCGCTTCCTTCTCTCTCGGGTAACTGTCGATGTAGTCTCCGATCGTTGGTGTAGTATGTCCAAATCATCACCAATCACCGCAATTCCAGCGCCGTTCCCTGTCCTGACGCCCAGCAAAGTCTCCCAGTCTCAAGTTTTGCGGAATGAACATCTGGGATAGGCAAGACACTCAAAACGCTCACTTTAGTTGTTTCCTGAAGGGGCCGCTGCGTCTATGCGCGCCGCCATCACCATGGCAACGCAATGATGATACATGCTGTTAGAACTGGAGTTTCGTCCAGTAGCTACTATTTGTTGTTGTTTTGGTGGTCCTGGTCGAAACTGTTGGATTCTAAACTGTAATGGAAACAGAACAGTGGTAAGAGTAGAGTACGAGGCCGTTTTCATAAACACCACTTGGCACAGAGTTCTTGCAGTGAAAAGCTGCCAATAGAATCCATGGCCAGGTTATTTTTTTCTTACATTCCCCAAATTCCAGGAATGAGAGCACCATAGTCTCCAAATAAAGGTTTGTTTTTCATGTTGCATTGGTACGGCACATTGTCCTGTGTTGAACCCTTTTCAGGTCAAGTGTCCATATTGTATCTCTCGGTTGTGTTGACCATTTTAATAATGTTACATATTAGTAAGCAGCATCACTGAGATAAAGTGCCTTTTTTTGTCAGGTATTGTATTCACTGAATGATCAAAAAACTGACTGTCATCCTCATCTTGTTATTTTTCTGTGAGCAGTTCTTAACAGAATGTGCTGCATCGTACATAATGCAATTTCTGTTGCACAATGATAGGAGAGTCTATGAAGCATCTTTAGGCGCCGCTATAGCTCACCTGGTTGAGCTGGTGTCCCATGTATAGGGGCTGTAGTCCCCAACGCAGCAGTCATGGGTTCGAGTCCTGCTCATGACCCTTTGCTACAGGTTCTTCTCCCCCCACTTTCCTGTCTCTCTCTCTGATCTATTTAAAAAGGCCAAAAATATCTTTTTAAAAAAAACAAAAAAAACATCTTCATCTCTTCTGTGGTGCATTCTGACACTCACACACATATTCAGCATGCGTCGTTATCTGAGCTGTCTTGAAATTAAGTACTGAGTCACAGCTGACATTTTAATTAAAATGTCATGCTCTTTGTCGTTGGTATGGAGCTGCAACACTAGAATGTGTCTGTAATTTTCAGAGAACCAGCAAGTTTGGGCACAGCAAATAGAAGCATTTGTGTGTTGTTTCTACATCGCCAGCTATAATGTGTCAGATACAGTCATGAAACAGCAAAGGTCACTCCACAATGGAGCCTACAAGCGGAGGTGAATAGTGGCACAGAGCCTGCTTCAAATGACAAACAACCCTGCTGTCCAGCCATTGATTATTGGATTACTGCTACAGGCTTCAATGGGGCTCACTAGCTGAGAACCCACAGCTTCATTGTTATATTATCGGACACAACAAATACAAATATAGCAAAAAACTTGTTCATAAAACTATGAAAATCTTAACTTGATAAACAGTTTTATATATGCAATAGAATTAAACCTAAATCACTCTATGGTGTAGACGTGTCCTAGATATTTAGTTAAAATATGGCCATGCTGTGTTTACAGGGTGCAGCCGTCTTGTGTTGTGGGAACAAATAAGTGAATTTTGTAACCTTCAAATATGACCTTTTTGTAACCTTGGTAGCAACAACCTCAGAGAAGTGTTTCATGTAGCTGTGGATCAGATCAGGTCTGCACAATGTTCAGGAGGAATTCTGGACCGTTCTTCCACACAGAACTGCTTCAGCTCAGCAAGATTCTTTGGAGATCTGGTGTGAATGTCTCTCTGAGGTCTGCTGGGTGAAGGTCTGAGCTCTGGGTCCAAAGGGTTAATTTCTTACTTTCATTTGTGTGATTTATTACTTTAAGGCAAACCTTATCGGAGAGCATTGCAGGAGTCTAACCTGCTGCATAGAAAGGCTTTGTAATTGTTGCCTGTGTGTTGAGTGAAATGCTTGAAATGTAGCTTTATTTTTCAGATTGTGTTTTCATTTTGTGGACAGTTTCTCCATCAAAGCCTGAAAGCCTGTAACTGAAATCTCACTTTTATCCTGTTTGGGCTGTAAAACTAATGCCTCAAATACATCTTAAAAGAACATTATCTAAAACAAGCACCAGCAAATATACAAATAGTACAGCTGACCCCCTCCTACACGAGGCCTTAAACCACAGGGTGGCATACAGTGTCCACTGTGCTGCTGCTGAATGAACAGTCACAGCCATACACTGCTGCTTCACCCTAATCCCAGCCCAACACACGCTGCTGCCTCAGCAGGTTGATGTATGTCACCCCTCTGTTGTGTTTTTGAAACTCTGTAGATACAACACATGTACATACCTTTTGTATAGGACTTTAGGTTTTATCTCCACTTGTTACTTAGATTGCATATGTCACGATCATTGCATGATGAAGAGAGTACAGTTGTTGATGCAGCAAAATTAATTGCCATTCAATGTATGTTTTTAATTTTTTTTGTGACAGCAAATGCATGTGTAAAAAGCAGTTGATGTTGGTATCATTTTCCATCTAACTCACTATATTTTGCAAATTTAAACAGCGGGAAATTAAATACTACGGGTGTCACTTTCTTCCGTTCTATCTGCAGTGTGTTTATCTTGGGACAAAGATGCATATTTTTCAATGATTCCATTACAGAAAATTCAAAGGTATGCGAGTCACTGGAAACTCAAGACTGCCACGATATACAGTACATGGTTTTTACAAGCACATGCAAACCTTTGTTCACTACTACATATATGAATGTGTAGGCACATAATTATCAGTGTGATCAAACCTGACTAATTGATCAACTTTAAGCTTAAAACTGAGGGTTGTTTTTTGTTTTGTTTTACACTCCTAGTTATTGAATACTGTAAAGATGAACAATGTGGATGATATTGGGAGAACTCATAGTCAGTGTGTTGGATAGAAGAAATTTGGCAGGTGAAACGACCTGCACAACTTTGGCGGTGGCCTAATTGTTTAAGAACAACTCTTAAACAGCTCTGAAACAACAAGGCTTATGGAGTGCTCCTGATGTTGCTGCGTGAGGACAGCTGTGGTCCAGACCTACAGAAGTGTGTTTAATAGAAGGATTGTAGCAAACTGGTCAGAGTGCTCGTGCTGACCTTTTTTCACTGTCGAAAGCATCTACAGCAGGTATACAAGCGCTAGAGGAGATGCCTACATCAATGGAAAGAGGTCTTCTGATCCAATAAGTCCTGTTTGTTTGTAAATCTGTGTATAATGTTTACCTGGAGAAGGAAGGACACTAGGATGCACTGTGGAAAGAAAACAAGCTGATGAGAGGAGTGTGATACTCTGCTGGGAAACCTTGGGACCGAGCATTATTGTGGACGACATTTTAAAACCTGAGACCATATTGTTTCAGATACAGTAGATAATGGAATTCCTCCTTCAGCAGGAATATGCACCCCACCATACAGCAAACATTGTTTGGGGATAGTTTAAAAAACTAAAGAGATAAAGGTGTTGTTGGGATCTTAATTCAGTCTGATGCATGATGGCTCCAAGTGGCAACTTCCAGGATTTAAAGATCTGCTGCAGTTATACCAGGGGTTTCCCTCAGAAGTTTGTGGAGTCAACACCTCAACAGTTCAGAGCTGTTTTGGCTCATAACTGTATAGCATGTGTATTTTGTTTGAAATCAAACTGAAAACAGGCCTTTTCTGTAAAACAGCACCAGTTTTTAAGGTATTTCGTAGAAAGGTTGTTCAGCATGATTGAAAACTTGCCACAGTTCTGAAGATTTAGCTTGTCTGTATGTGTCTTCTGTCTCTTCATGTATTCCCAAACTGATTCCATAATGTTGAAATCAGGACTCCGTGGGGGTCAAACCATCTGTTGCCTAAAATGTTAACACAATACCACATATGTAACTGAATACCAAGCTTTGTCTTTACAAATTTTTCTTCTTTCTCCTGCTCTAGAATGAACTGTCAGATGATGATTTCACTTTAGAGGTCACACAGATTCATAAGGTAGGTGCAAAATACAACAACACCCAAATGGAGATGAATGTTAAATGTTTCCACTGCCTATTTTCTTGCATAAATGCGTGTGTGTCTGTGAGTAGGATTTTACAATGGAGACATTTGCCGGCCCAGTGTTTGCCAGCCTGCGTGGTTCTTTGGGAATGACAGAGCAGGAGTATCAGCAGTCGCTCTGCTCTGAAAACTGCTACCTCCAGTTCATCAGCAACTCCAAGAGCAAGGCTGACTTCTTCCTGACGTGAGTCAGCACACATCAACTGTTGACTCTCTCCCTCACGCTGCCTGTTTCATTGTTTTCATTAGAAAAAACACTTTATAGGTTTTAGTGTTTGCCGAAGCTCAAGTGCTAAAATATATTTCCAACCCCAACTGTCCCCTAACACCTCACCCCGGTAAAGTGAAAAGTCACCTTACACATGCACAACTACTTCTATATATTAGACACTACATATAGAATAAAAATACAAGCTTTAATGTTTAAAGGGTCAGATTCTGTAATACTTATGGTGTGCTTTTGAACTTCTAGAAATGACAAACGCTTCTTTTTGAAGACCCAGAACAAAAGGGAAATCAAATTCCTTCTGGCCAACCTGAAGATCTACATGGAGCATCTGAGGAAATACCCACATTCACTGCTGGTCAAGTTCTTAGGTACCACACAAGCATACAATCATAAAGCTTCAGTAGAAGGCAACTGAACTTCTTTTTTTTGAGCTTTTGAATACACACATAAGATGAGAAACTTTATTTGATAAATTTATCTAAACAGATGAGCACAGCTGGACTAACTTAAATGGTGCGTTGTATTAATACTGATTTGTACATGTTATGAGACAGGGTTTGAGATAGTGTCATTTTCTTACACTTTAGATTGAAGACTGAGGACTTATTGAATCACTTCTGTTGCATGCAACCAGTGACTAACTAGAAAGAAGAAAATCATTTACATTTGCATGGCAACTTTCAAAATTGAAGTTGCAAAGTGCTTCATAATTTCAAGTAGAAGCTAAAGAGAGATTTTTTCTTTGAACCAAACCAGAGATAAAAGAATATTTACTTATAACCACCAAGAGGAGCAAGTCTATGAATTAATGCTAATTTTACTCTTTGTCAACTGTATGTTTAACTATGTTTGCTGTACTGTACTGAGTGATTTCGCCCTTTTTTTAAGGTGTTCACAGGATTCAAATTCCACGCAGGCGCAAGGTACAGATCATGTTTTATCACTGTTCTTCACTAGAATTAGAGGATGCTACAAAGCAATATTAAGCATGTTTACTTTTTTCATTTGTCCTTTGCAGAAATACTTCATTGTTATGCAAAGTGTGTTTTATCCAGATGATCGAATCAATGCCAGGTAAGTTGGGTTGTCTAGTCACAGAAATACAAACCATGAGCAGAACAAGTTGCGATCAAAGCATTTAGGGATTGTGCCTATAAAAAGCAAAACCGATTGCTGATTTAAATGTGGCCACTGTCCCTGCTATAATAGGCACCCTGTGCAGAGAAACACTGCCCCCAGTGGAACACTTTCTAGAAGTCCCACTTTGTATAGACTCATCTCATTTCTTTATTTCAAGCCTCCTCGTCTCCTCCACCCTCCTGCCCGTGACCTGAAAAAGAAGTTTGGCACATCAGCTTATAAGACACCTTAACTCCCAAATTAACAAAGTTCTACTGATCTGACAGGAATCATAAAATACAGCAGTAGGCTGTGGACAGATGGTGAAGCTGTGCCACACATCACACAGCCTCGACTCTTCTCTCCTCATGTTCCTTCCTCCCCACTTTACTTGCATCTTTTGTGGGAGGAACTAAGACAAGAGGAGAGCAGTCGGGGAAAGGAAATAAGGATGTGCAAACTCAGAAATGAGAAGAGAGGCGTAAGTGTGACAAGCACCGTCTGCAGAGCATTTTGGATGTTTTCGCCAAAGTGTCATTGAACTTGAATTTTATTTTTGGAAGACAAACAAGTCCCAAAAGGCCAATTCAGGTGGATGAGAATTGCATTAGTGGCGCTAGAAAACCGCGTATGTTTTCACCATGCTATGAGTAAATTAAGGAATTAGGTTAATGAATCATTGTTAATCACACTTGATGATTTAACAATTAAAACTGTATCAACTGAAGTACCTGGTTGCACAACCAGGTGGTGCTTTTTACTGTTTTATGAGATTGACGACTGCAGCTCTTATGTTGTGTTTAATACTTTAGCAACATGAGGAAGTGGTCTGTTGGACTACAGGCAGGTCTCTGTTGACGAGCACAAAGATGTGATTGTGATTGTTTTTTCAGTTGTGTCATATTTGAATTTTGATTGTTGTGATGGCGAGGTGGTAATTGGTGTTGTGAGACTGAAAACGCGGTGGGAGTTTAGCAAACAACAGGCTAATGACTCCAGACACTCTTGTAGCAGCTACTGGCCTTCATGTAATCAATGTTTGACCCCTGTGTGCTCTGATTTACACTCGCTGGGCCAATACAACTGAGGCATTTTTTTGTAAATCATCCATTTCCATCCATCCATTTTCTATACACCGCTTAATCCTCACTAGGGTTGTGGGGGGCTGGAGACTATCTCAGCTGATTTAGGGTGAAGGCAGGGGACACCTTGGACAGGTCACCAGTCTATCACAGGGCTACACTTAGAGACAGACAACCAAGCACACTCACAGTCACACCTACGGACAATTTAGAAACACCAATTAACCTCAATATTTCTTTGGACTGTGGCGGGAAGCTGGAGAACCCGGAGAGAACCCACGCTGCACGGGGAAAACATGGAGACTCCACACAGAAAGATCCCAGGCGTCCTAACCGGGACGCGAACCAGAGATCTTCTAGCTGTGACGCAACAGTGCTAACTACCGAGCCACTGTACAGCCTGTGTTTCTAAATGTAATTTCTTAACTGCCGGTTAAGAAAGTTGCTTAAAATTTGCATCCGTAGATCAGACCCATTGTCTTGATTGTCGCGCTACAGTTCAGGTTGTTGGCCCTCAGAAGATGAAGTAGAACTCTGTGTTGACAGTCTGATCCTGAAGCTCATGGAGCGTAGAAGAAAGCATGCTCCTGGTGTGCTCCTGACCTTAAGTGTCTTCTCTGGTGGTCCAGAGAAGACACGCTTGCATACCTGCTGTAGATGCTTTTGACAGTGAAAACAGGTCAGCATGAGCACTCTGACCAGTCTGCTACATTCCTACGATTAAAAACACTTGTGTAGGTCTGGACCACAGCTGGTGAATGCTTGATTGTCCCAGCTGCTGTCTGACACAGAATGTGATGTTTGATCTTTGTGAAAATTTTATAGCCTTACCCTAACCCTAACCCTAAATTTTAAGTTTTATTTGAATTCCAAATTCACAACTACGAGTGATCACAAAAACACATGTAACACAGGTCCAATGATGACCATGCGATGCTATGTGGAATCCTGACTCATGGCAGTCACTGCTCTCACATTACGCTTTGTGTGAAAGCAATTGGACCAATCTCCGAACCTTTTGATCCCACCTTGTATCAATAACAGTGTGGCCTGTTGGTGTGGTTCGATGTGTGTTCTGTGTTTCCAGGTATGACATTAAGGGCTGTGAGGTGAGTCGCTGGACAGAGCCCGCACCAGAGGGAAGCCAGATCATTGTGGTTCTCAAAGACCTCAACTTTGAAGGCCAGTTCATTACGCTGGGTAAGGATGGTAATTTCTGCTGTGAGTCATAAGCCATTATGTAGTAGTTATTGTGGAAATTCTGGATCAGGATGAGGAGCCCGACGCAGAGAGACACACCTGAAAATCAGATGACTTAGGTTGAAATAAGGTTTACTGATGCATCAGGAGAAGTGACACCAACAGGACAGCAGTTCATGCATGCAGCGTCAGAATCAATTCTAAAGATCCCTCTCACACTTTAGTCTTACATTCTCCTTCGGCGGGAGTCACATCCAGATTTATGGGAGAAAGGGAAACAAAGATAAGTTGGCACCTGGGTATCATCTGACCTTGGAATGTGCAGTCTGTTCTGGCCTGTGCTCCTACAATGAGGTTTTCTTGAGGTTAAGAATCTATAGAGGGCCGCTGCTTTAGTTCACCTGGTGGAGCTGGCGACCCATGTACAGGGGCTATAGTCCCCGATGCAGCAGCCAAGGGTTTGAATCCCGCTCAAGGCCCTTTGCTGCAACAGGTTCCCCCATTCTCCTCCCCCCACTTTCTTGTCTCTCCCTGAACTGTCCTATCTAAAAAATGCAAAAAGGCCAAGAAAATAACTTTAAAAAAAAGAAAAAGAATCTATAGAGGTTACAGGGCACACATCTGCTACAGGCACTACATTTATCTAAGGAGGTTAATCAGGGTTCAATATCTCAATAAGGAAAGTAATTTTTCCTTCACATGAGTAAGCGTAGCATTACTGCAACCCCTCCAGGCCACTGTGCTTTTCATAACATCTAACTCAAGTGCATTCCTCTCTAGGTGCAAACATTTAATTCAAACAAATGTTAATAAAAATTGAACTCCAATATTGTGCCAGCAGCAAAATATGGACACATATGGAAGAAAATTCTAGAGCATGTGTTCATGTAAAGTAGTATCCAATATTATAATTACATGTGTTTTGTGTATGTCTGCAGACCAGCAGCGTCCCTGGCTTCTGCGGCAGGTGGAGATCGACACACAGTTCCTCCGCAGGCTCAATGTGCTGGACTACAGTCTTCTGCTGGCCCATCAGCCCTTACACCACGATGAGCGCCACCAGGGTCTCTCCTTTGCTACACTCATCATGAGAACCAAAAAGTCAGTATCTTTTCTGAGATTTATGACAGTTTTTTGAAATTCTGCAGTCAATGAACCAGGTTTTAGTACCTCCACTTTTTATATATAGTGCAGTTAGAGGAGTACTCTAGTGTCAGTCAGAGCAGTCACACAGCCAGTGCTATAGATGTAGCCACACTGCAGCCAGTTCATCATCTGGGCTTAAGAAATGTTTCTTCACTTTATTGTGACCAAGGTAGTGGTAAAAAACTATGCTTCTTCGCCTTTTTTTTTTTTTACCTTGTTAACATGTCCGTATGGTGTTTGTTTTAAATGCTGGTAGACATGTCATGAGCAGAATCAGCAGTCAGCATCAAAGCTGAGCATTTTCCTCTTTAAGCTGCAGTGTACCAATGACTGTCTCAAAACACAGATTCAGACTTCGTTTCACAGGTAACAAACCTGTCAGCTCGCAGGGTGGTGCTTTCTACGTCATCACTCTTCTTCAGAAGACATTTTTGGTTCAAGCATGTAGTAATTTTACTGTGCTTGAGCAAAGTCATAGGTGAGCTGGTGTGCTTCAGCTACAGCAAGTAGTGGAGGGGTGGGTGTACGGAGGGATGGGGACTTCATTTCCTTGCAACTGCTGGAATTATGCTTGTCAATCCAAACCATCTGAAAACCATCAATGGTAGAAAGCGTATTTTTTGTACCCCTATCTCTGTACTCCTGCAGAAGTCCTCTTGATAGACAGGGCCATTAGTTTGTCTATCTTATTGTCCAGTTCATACTGTTTATGATGATAGAAGGGTGAAACAGCTCATATTTCCTCTTGTCCATCAGTCTTTGTTACATGGCTGCAGCTTTTTATCCTTGTCATTTTGGTCCCTTTCGACTTGTGGGGGGGATATCTATTGCTGTTGCTCTGGTCACTAATCTAGCCAGCTTCAGCACGATCAGCTGGTTCCTGGTGCAGACAACACAAGCNTATTATTATTTAAGTTTCTAACACTTGGAAAGATCAAATTCATTATACTATTATGCTATTTTTAAGTTCACAAAATTAAGTAAATGCAGCTAAATTTTAAGTAAACTTTACAACTAGATATGAAGTAAACTGAATTTAAGACTAATGGTTAAATTTACTTACCTTTTTTGAGTGGTTTCCTAGATTTCAGGTCCTGGAATGCTCGAGCCTGGTCAACACCCCACAGCCATTGGTTCCTTTTTGACAGAAGGTCTCTCAATGGATTGTTTCTCTCCACAAGCTGAGGGATAAACTTTCCCAGCTGGTTGACCATGCCTAGGAAGCTCCTCAACTCTGTGACATTTGTTGGCTCTTTCATTTTCCTAACTGCTTCTGTCTTGCTCGGATCAGGGCTGATGCCACTGGCGGAGATGACATGACCTAAAAAGGTCCCAGCTGACTTAGGGTGAAGGCAGGGGACACCCTGGACAGGTCACCACGGTATATACGCTGTCTAATAGGGAAAAAAAAAAACATGGGCCAGACAGGAAAGATAAGTCCAATTGAAATGTATTAGTTTGAAATTCGTAGTGTGGGACACGAAAAATTTGGGCAATACGTGTCAGTTTTGTGACTATTTCACAAACTGCCGTGAGACTGGGTTGCGGTGGAGCGTATCTTGCGATTTTAAAGTTGTTGTCCAATCGGAGCCAGCACATTTAAAACGTAATCATTTCAAGGAGAAGATTAAAAACGGAGAGCGCCAGGTTTTTGGCCACGGCGTTTTGTGGGGCAGTGGCAGCAATGTCGGTACAGAGAAAAGTGTGGGTGCGGAGTCTATCTGAACGTAGAATAGTGACGTTTGTCGTGTGCCAATGACGTGTAGGTCAGAAAAATGCGACCTGGCCGTTCAGGCAGAAGTTGCATGGCAGAAGATCAGATACCTATCGCATTTAGGATCACATATTGAAGTGGCCTGGGTTGCATTTGAAAAAAATCAGATCTGTGTTGTTTACACTCACGAAAAGATCAGATACAGGTCGCGTAGGGGCAAAAAATAAACTAGAAGTTGGATTTGGGTCACTTTAGCGTGCTGTCGGAACATAGCCTAAGATTTTCTCATCATTTGAAATACAGATTCAAGTTTTTTAATTTACAGACCCTATGGTTTTGACTGGTGCAAGATGGTGGTGAATTTTTAACCGCTTTTATGAAGTTGAATAAAGTCCTTATGGTTGGTGAGGACTTTATGAAGATGGATAAAGTCCTCGTGGTTGGTGATTTTAATATCTATGCTAATGACTCCACCTGAACCTTCACCGTTGATTTTATTCAGTGACTCTTAATTTAATTCAACATGTGTCCCATGTCAGGGGTCATACTTTGGACATTGTTTTTATGCTTGGTTTAAATATCGACTCCGTTACTTCTGAGGACCTCCACGTTACTGGGGATTCATGTATTTTGTTTAGTCTGTTTTTTAAATTTTGATCACAGTCCTGCAAACATGTAAGTTCTTCATGTATCTTAAATCAACTCAGTTAAGAGGTTTTTAGAAGTTTTTGTTCCTAGTACAAAGTGTTTTCAGTGCACACTGATGTTAATAGTCTGGTCAGTTCTTTTGAATATGGACTGTAACCCAGACTGAATTCAACAAAAGAACAAAACTACAAAAATCAGGGAATACTCTAAACTAAGAGCCAAGGGACAGTCTAATAAATCTTAAGATAAAAAACTAAGCTAAATCAACCAAACAGGGTACATAAACAGATGGAGAGGGGCAGACAGGCTCGGGGTATGCAGGCTGGAAACAGGTTGGGGACCAGTGGCAGGAGAAGTCTGGCTCAGGGAAAATCCAGGTGTATAGAGTATTGCTGCATTTGTTTTGGTTTTTTATTTTAAATCAAGAAAAAGTAGTTGCCAGTCAGCTCACTGAGGACTTGAAGGAACATGTAATTTTAGATAATTTTCAGTCAGGTTTCCTCCAACTGCATTCCAGCCTTACTAAGAATTACTAAAGAGAAAGTGATGTTTTCTGATGCAGGTGAATGCTCTGTTTTGGGTCTACTTGCTCTAAACACAAATTTTCACAATGTTTGTTACAACATTTTGATTGGTAGACTTTGGCAGTAGGTAGGTGTGTGTGCATGCTTTGGACTGATTCTCCTCAAACCTGTGTGATAGGGGTTTTTCAGTGTCACTTGGTCCCTACACGTCTGATACTGCTGCCTTGTTCTGTGGTGTGCCTCAAGCCTCATTCTTGGGCCCTATTTATTTGCTTTATATCTGCTCAAATTAGGTCATTGTCAAGCAAATTTAAAGTTATCTCCCATCACTGCTATGCTGGAAACATCCAGCTGTGTGTTTCTTTCAAACCTGCAGAGATGGATAAAATATTGATGTCAGCAGTTGTCTGGTAACTATTAAAGACCGGATAGTAAACTACTATCTGCAGCCTAATCCAGACAAAACCTAGGTTCTAATTGTTCCAGATAGTATATATCTATGAGGTGTCTTATTGTTGGGTCCCTGTTGTTTTGTTTTTTTTTTTACTGTAAAGAGCAGTCTTACAAACCTAGGTGTCATATTTGACCACACACATGTTTAGATTGATCAGAAAAAAAAGAAACTAAGAATTGAATCCATTTCAAGTCTAAAACATAACAAAATATGGAAAACATGAAAAGGTCCAAAATTTTCTATTCCATATGCCCTCCATACTCAGTCCAGGTTGACTTGCTTTGGTACTAAGCTGCCTTTCTACACAGATCAGATGACTTTTCAACAGATACAACTTTGTGGAAAAGGGTATAGAATTTCTGAGACTCATATTCTTTCTTGTGACTTTTTTATTTTAGGTCTGTGAATCCAGGTTCCAGCCCTATCCACGCAAACATGGCTGCTGTTCCTGGAGCAGTCATAGAAGATGACTCCACCCTACCTTTATCTGAAACAGACAGCGGTTTAAAGCTACCACACGCATGGGGTGCATTGAGTTGTGGCTCTCTCCAAACATGCAGAGTGCACGCAAGGCCAGGCAGTGGCACGGCTGAGCTACCAGACTTCAAGACCCAAAACCGACGATTACTGCCCAACTTGAAGAATCCTCTACATGTCATCGATGGCCCTGAGCAGCGCTATTTCATTGGCATTATTGACATTTTCACAGTTTACAGTTTTAAGAAGAGGTTGGAGCATTTGTGGAAGAGGCTTAGACATCCTGGCCGATCCTTCTCTACCGTCAGTCCACAGACTTACTGCCTCAGGCTATGTCAGTGGGTACAGGACCACACCAAGTAGACCCTGAACGAGAGGTGGAGACTTGCCACCAACTCTCAGGAAGTCCAAACAACCAAAGTTCATAGACATGCACACATTTATCTGATTTATGGTTCCAATCCTTTCATCATTCTACAAGCTGAAAATGTAAACCTGTAGCTGGGATTAGGCGTTAGTCATTTCTGAGCCTGCAGTAGACACTTGAAACACAAAAAAAACATTTAAATATTTGGTAGAGAAACTAACCAACATGATGAGACAGATGGTACACAAAGAGTGATTTCATTCAAGCTCACTAAATTTATTTTCACATTTTCTTGCTGTAACTGACATGTATGAAATCTGTCTAACAGGTAAATAGAAATAAAAGATAAACCAGTGTTAAAACCCACTTGGTGTCCAAATTTAAGAATTCTACTCCATCCAGTCACCATTTCCACGGCTGCCCTGTGACCGCTAATCCTACTTCAAACATTACAGATTCAAATTCTCTATTTGGCTGAACTTGCATCGTAACACTTTCTCAGATTCAAAGTGTTGGCACATGTGACAAAGCATGTAGTGTAAGAGGAATGCTGTGGGAGCAACACATTTTCAGTAAACTTGACAGAAAATACTGGCAACTGTGGTCACTCTTGTTGTATTTTTACAGTTACTACTCGAATGTAAATATACAGTTAATTACTGTAAAATGTACTGCTGCATTCTACTGTAGAATGTAAAGTTTACTGTCTAATAGTGTCACTAGACTTTCCAATAATACTCTATTTGTAGTGCCGCCACTGTAATCAACAGTAACTCCACTTGTAGGTGCGAAAATTACAACATTTTCCTCTTTTAATATTCTATGAATAACAATGTCTTCATTTTTGTGATGCACAGTGAAGATGTACCAACTCTATATAATGTTAAAAATGGATATAGCACTGAAAACACCTAAAATAATGAAGAATAAAGGATGTAACTCAGGTCACCATTCTGAACAGTGCTTCCCAAACTATTGTGCCAACATAGTTTGTTAAATTCACACAGTCAATTTTAGCCTTAGCTTGCTGTTAATTGTCACGATCATTTTGGGCTCCAAAAAAGCATCCGTATTTTTGAAAAACAATACATTACAGTTAGAATTTGGCTGTTTTTGAATGAATTTGTTACAGTCAAGTGAAAACATGTATCTGAATTTATTGAGCATGCAACAAATTTGTTTGCTGAACTTCAATGATTATTTTAATACTTTTGCAAGAAAATTGTTTAATAAGTCATATTGTGCACTTAAACATTTGGCACAAATGTTCCATAACAATGCAAGAAATATGTTTTTCAATAGTTAGTAAAAGAGTAGTTTTCCCAAATATGGTGGAGGAACAGGGCCCAGCGTGACGCGTCATGAAAAGGAGAGAAACCTCCTTTCTTTAAAAATAAATAAATAAATAAAAAAGGTTCTTATGATGTACTTCAATAGAGAAAAGTATTTAAAAAAGCATCAAATATGCTTCATAGGCTTTATGTGCAGATGTCTGCCTGCATGTACACGAAAAGGCGACTAAGTGTAAACATGTTTTCAGAAATGTCTGCAAACTTCTGAGAAAGTCAAAAACTGAAATCTGTCATCTATGAAAGTATGCTTTTTAAATTATGTTTTCATTCTTCAGGCTTTGTGTAGAACAGAAGGTTGCCTGTAGTTTCGTGTCCCTTAGTCTGGCTGAAGGTAGCTTGGGTCAATAAGCTATAATTTAACTGTATAGAATCTGTGATGCCTCAGTAAACTCTCTGTAAACGAGATTCTCATGCAAGCATTTAGCATTTATCAGCAAAACTCATTTCTGTGATCAGATATTAGCGTCAGTAACTGCAAATTCCCGCTGCCATGCTGTTGTATGCAGGGCCCAGCCAAACCACCACCACTCAAACTCCTCTACCCCCCACCCATGTAACCCACTATGAGAACTGCTGCATGCTCTACTCTAAGTGTCACTGAAACTCAAGAGCAAGTTGGAATGTGTTTTACTGAGAATAACTACAAAGCAGCTCATAGAGCAACAACATTAACAAGTTATCTGCATGCAGTGCTATGTAGAAGTTTAAGGCAATAACAGTACAGTGACAATGCTTTTCAAAAATAGTGCCACAAATAGTTTTTTATTTATCAGCTACCCTCATACAAAGTGCAAATTGATATGTTATGTGACCACTTTTGCCTTTTAAACTATGCCTACCTTGAGGCCATACAATTTTTCTTCTTGTTGCTCAAGATGGTTCATTATGACTGATTGCATTGCCTGATAGTTGAGAATCCCAACATCTCACAAATTCACAAAGCATTTCCTTTTAGCAAATTACTTATTTGAGGACCTTATAGGGGCCACTAAGCCCGAAAGAGCTGGACATACTGTGAAGCAGATGCAGGCATGGACAGCAGAAATTCACATCACAGACTCACATATGCCTAAAAAGTCAGACGACTTGACCTGACCAGAGTCCAGTTTTCTTCATGTGTGGGCTTTTTACTTCCAGACTGTTTCATTTCTAGTGCTGTTTGTCATGGATTTAAAAAGAGTAGACGCCCTGTAATGTATGAATCACATAGTGCTTCTTTATCCAGCCAGTTACAGAGTGGACCTTTTTATTTGACCTTTATTTTAGCAGGTAAAAATGTTTGAGAACCAGTTCTCATTTGCAAACATGACTTGGCCAGAGTGACCTGACCTCAGTAGAGTGTGATCAATATTCCTGTTGCCAAGGCCTTTGGCTGCTAATTTCCCCACAAGTTAGCCTACCCCAGTGAATGTACAGGTCTTTCATGCTTTCTTTCTGTCCATTGCTACCAAAGGAACACTTTACTAATGCTGAAATTGTTTTGATTTTGTTTTTACCCTGAAGTTGACCTGAGAGTTTCTCCAGTACAAAACAAACAGTTTGTGTCTGTTCCATTGCTGTCACTTACAATAATGTTGATAAAGTATTTTCTGGGAAGAAATCCCCAGTTCAACCACTATTCCCTGCAGAGGTACATCTTGATTTTCCCCTTTTGTGTTTTACTGATACAATATAATTAAATGTAGCTGCAAAGACTTGTGCTTCGTCTTCATCTTGAAAAATATGCACATTCTGAATTGCTGAGGGCTGCAGGGTGGCNATTGTTTACTTGAAAGCTGCTTCTGTCATGGTGGGGGATCGGAGAACCCAGATGCAGACACAGATCAGGCAGACATGCGGGTGATGTGTTCAAAAAGATTTATTAAACAAAGAATTAAACTGAATACAAACTGAGGTGCGGAAACACATATGCCCACAACAAAGTGAAACTGGGAACCAAGAAAAAGTAGTAATTTTACCCATCCAGGTTATGATGTGGGAACCAAATATCCCTATACTTGAGTACCAAATGTGTATTGTGGTAATCCATAGATGAAAATAATAACAAATGCATGTTTGAGTAGCATATGATAACATCTACAATGCCCAGCTGCGTTAGAAAACCGTAACAATTACTTTATTTGTGAAACGTCTGCAACAGAAACTAATGACCTTGTGACTAAGGGCTGCAGGCAGGATAGGGAAGTGTGACGACCCCTCCGTCCCACTAGGTGTGTGCTTGCTTTCCTGTCTGTGTCGCTTTTAGGTTTTCATCGAGGCAGGGTTGTCATCGAGGTGATTGACTGCACCTGGGCCCGTGTAGTTAAATACACTCTCCTTCCCCTTGATTGTTTCTGTCATGCCATCTGCTCGCCTCTGCTATACATGCGGGCCTCGCAGCACGGCTATTTTGTTTTGCTTTGTGCATACACACACTCACACATCCACACAGATATACACGACTGATTACTGACTCTGACATGCGTTCATCTTATTTGTAGAATAAAAATATGTTTTTGGCACTCGACCTCATCTGCTCTCCCATTGATTGTTGCAGTCTAAGAGCTGGGCTGTAACAGGAGGGCAGAAAGTACTGAGAGACTCATTAACATTACTTGTTTTGGTCTTTTAATGGGATTTCCTGACAGTAAGACAAATATAAATCGGCCTGCTTTATTCTTTCATTAACAGTGGCACCCGTTTAAATGTGCAGACATCATGCATAGGTGTGCAGAGAATGAATGTGAAACTGCAATGTGACCTTATCATGTACTTTTGTGGTTTAGCAGGGAGATGAATCAATCAACAGTTGCAGACTGAATGACAACTGGAGCTGAGTCCAAATTCCTAACAACAACATCATGCAAAATAGATACCAATATATTTTACAAACAGAATTAGATTCCCAGTCAAGTGTGACTCAGGCAGCGGCGACACACGTTCACTGTCTGGGCTGTCTGCCCAGACTGGAGTGTCTGCATTGGATCTTTGTGCAATGAGTCTAACAGCTGCATGCACGAAAGCAAGCTACTTACTCACACGATTCTAAAGTAGAATCAAGCTGACTCATATGTAGGTGTTTGGCATTTTAGAACACTCAGGAACTATTATGTGGGACCTCTACCCCAATTTCATGGCAGTTTGTGAAATAGTCACGAAACTTAATTTACTGATTTTGTTCTTTTCGTCTGACAGTCAGGCATTAACCAATTTTACTGTTATGGCCCGTTCACACTAATAACTATAGAGATTACTAAAAAGATGTGTGCGCCCACACTGACGAACATGAACATTCTGTAAACACTGGTGCTGAGCAGCTACCGTGTGCTCCAACTGCGTATACGCTCCGTATCTATTCAAATAATAATGTAGCAACAGTTGGTGTTTTTATTGCTCCATTTAACGTTTAACTTTGTTTTAACACATAAACAGACGAAAATACTTTTTCTTGTTTGTAATGAGTGAGTGCTAGATAGAAAATCATGGAATCACAGCTATTTATTGCTAATTAGCAATAAATGCATATTACAGCTGAGGATGAGTGGGATGTTGCTACTTTGCAGGTGATAAAACATAGCATTAGACACTGGTCATTTTGGATAGTGTAGATGTACAATCAGGGCATCAGCAAAGTGATTAGAATTCATAGCAGTCCCTTTAAGAAATATTAGGATGTTTTACTAAAAAACATTATGTCAACTGGTCAGTGATAAGCATGAACAACAGGAAATGTCTTTGAGCTAACATGAATGCATGTACCGAGAACAGAGGATATTGGTCCACTTCTCATATCGTCTAACTCAAGATCTGTTCTTTGGTAATTATCAGAATCATTGTGTTTGTGATGAGCAGAGAATGCTGTTCATGGGTCCATTTCACAAAGCAGGTCAAGTGAAAACTTTGAGCCTGTTAACCCTGAAATGAGGGAAACTCTGAGTTTTCCGTTTCACAAACGGAGGTAACTCAAACCAGAGAAAGAGGGGTAACTCTAGCCTGTTTCACAGAGAGATCTAACTTAAGACCTCAGTCAGTTACCGTAGTTACAGAGTCTATGAAGCTAATCTGGTCGGGACCAGGTTTTTCTCAGTGAACCTTGAGTTTCTCTCTGTCTCCGCCCTCTTTCAGCCACACACACTACTTGATTTCTTCATTCATTCAGTCAGCAGGAGAGTTTTGGCGTAGTCTAGTTCTGCCGTCTGTCAAAAATCATTAAAACAATCAGTCAGTAGTCTATATTACAAGTCCATTAGGCACAGTAGGTGGAGACTTTTTCCACTAACATGGCATGTCCTTTTGTTCACGATCCCGTGGATGAAGGTGCAGCATTACTGCGCAGAGAATTAAATATTCGTCTGGAGTGTTGTGTAATCCAATAATGCACGCAAGTCCGACTGTTCTATTTGCATGCATCTTTTTTTTTTTATTCCGCCAACAACACATTAGACGACACACCTTGGTCCTACCCTTAGATGTCCATCCGTCCCATAACTGACGTCATCACTAGTGACCAATGTAGTTCTTAAAGGCAAATTGTTGGTACCCCTCAGTTTATGAAAGAAAAAACCCACAGTGGTCACAGAAGTAAATTAAATCTGACAAAAGTAATAATAAATAAAAATTCTATGAAAATTAACCAATGAAAATCAGACATTGCTTTTGAACTGTGGTTTAACAGAATTATTTAAGAAAATAAACTCATGAAACAGCCCTGGACAAAAATGATGGTACCTCTAGAAAAGACTGAAAATGATAAATCTGATCAGTTATTATTATTATTTAAGTTTCTAACACTTGGAAAGATCAAATTCATTATACTATTATGCTATTTTTAAGTTCACAAAATTAAGTAAATGCAGCTAAATTTTAAGTAAACTTTACAACTAGATATGAAGTAAACTGAATTTAAGACTAATGGTTAAATTTACTTACCTTTTTTGAGTGGTTTCCTAGATTTCAGGTCCTGGAATGCTCGAGCCTGGTCAACACCCCACAGCCATTGGTTCCTTTTTGACAGAAGGTCTCTCAATGGATTGTTTCTCTCCACAAGCTGAGGGATAAACTTTCCCAGCTGGTTGACCATGCCTAGGAAGCTCCTCAACTCTGTGACATTTGTTGGCTCTTTCATTTTCCTAACTGCTTCTGTCTTGCTCGGATCAGGGCTGATGCCACTGGCGGAGATGACATGACCTAAAAAGGTCCCAGCTGACTTAGGGTGAAGGCAGGGGACACCCTGGACAGGTCACCACGGTATATACGCTGTCTAATAGGGAAAAAAAAAAACATGGGCCAGACAGGAAAGATAAGTCCAATTGAAATGTATTAGTTTGAAATTCGTAGTGTGGGACACGAAAAATTTGGGCAATACGTGTCAGTTTTGTGACTATTTCACAAACTGCCGTGAGACTGGGTTGCGGTGGAGCGTATCTTGCGATTTTAAAGTTGTTGTCCAATCGGAGCCAGCACATTTAAAACGTAATCATTTCAAGGAGAAGATTAAAAACGGAGAGCGCCAGGTTTTTGGCCACGGCGTTTTGTGAGGCAGTGGCAGCAATGTCGGTACAGAGAAAAGTGTGGGTGCGGAGTCTACCTGAACGTAGAATAGTGACGTTTGTCGTGTGCCAATGACGTGTAGGTCAGAAAAATGCGACCTGGCCGTTCAGGCAGGAGTTGCATGGCAGAAGATCAGATACCTATCGCATTTAGGATCACATATTGAAGTGGCCTGGGTTGCATTTGAAAAAAATCAGATCTGTGTTGTTTACACTCACGAAAAGATCAGATACAGGTCGCGTAGGGGCAAAAAATAAACTAGAAGTTGGATTTGGGTCACTTTAGCCTGCTGTCTGAACATAGCCTAAGATTTTCTCATCATTTGAAATACAGATTCAAGCTTTTTTAATTTACAGACCCTATGGTTTTGACTGGTGCAAGATGGTGGTGAATTTTTAACCGCTTTTATGAAGTTGAATAAAGTCCTTATGGTTGGTGAGGACTTTATGAAGATGGATAAAGTCCTCGTGGTTGGTGATTTTAATATCTATGCTAATGACTCCACCTGAACCTTCACCGTTGATTTTATTCAGTGACTCTTAATTTAATTCAACATGTGTCCCATGTCAGGGGTCATACTTTGGACATTGTTTTTATGCTTGGTTTAAATATCGACTCCGTTACTTCTGAGGACCTCCACGTTACTGGGGATTCATGTATTTTGTTTAGTCTGTTTTTTAAATTTTGATCACAGTCCTGCAAACATGTAAGTTCTTCATGTATCTTAAATCAACTCAGTTAAGAGGTTTTTAGAAGTTTTTGTTCCCAGTACAAAGTGTTTTCAGTGCACACTGATGTTAATAGTCTGGTCAGTTCTTTTGAA